GATTGCTAGCTTCCTCATAATTCACGGGCTACCCTGGCTAGATCTGCATTTTGTGGAGCTTTTTAAGGAACAAACAAGGAGGCAGATGGTAGGAGCTGGCTCCCTTTCTCAAATTTTGGTTTGCTTTTCATTACTTTTCCCTCTCTCTATAGGGACAAAGCTGCTGTAGGATTCAAACTTGGCCAGATAGGAATGCTTTATTTCCATTTTATTAGACAAGGAACGCAAACTAACATTTACAGAAAGTCTGATGTTTGCAAGATACATGTCATCTTCATAGTTACCTATGAGGTAAATATTATCATCCCCATTTTATAGATGAGGAAATCAGGGCTAAGAGGGGTAAGGTAAGTAGCACACCATCACTCCCAAACCCCTTGCAGTGAGCTCCCTGTAAGTGGTCACCTCGCTGGAATTTGAATCTAAGTCTGTTGGACACTGAGACTGTGCTCTCTTCATAATGCTTCCGGAGGTTTAGGAGGAGGCAAGATCCGGTGAAATGATGACGTGTTTTATTGTCAGATCCTTAGGTTCGAACCCAAGCTCTTCCTGTACTGCTTACATAGACAAGCTTGCATCCCTTCCTTCCTTGCTTCCTTGTCAAATGTCCATCAAGGGCCTATGATTATCCATGTCAAACACGGAGCCGGGAGCCGGGACGTATCAGTTAACTCACGGTCCCAGCCCTCCTAGACCTGCTCCAGTCTGATGGATAACGCAGACCGTGAAGCAGGCAGTTATCACGTGGTTGGAGAAGGGTTATGCGGGGCGGAGTACCAGATGCGGTGGGAGCACCTCGAACTTCTCGGTCTGGGGCAGCAGGTACTCCCCCCTGGTTAGGGCCGGCATGTCAAATAAATACTGGGTTTTGAAGGCTTCGTACAAAAAAATGATGTTCAGTATTTAAGTATTAAATTAACTATTTCAAAGTATTCGAATTATTATTTAAAGTTGTTTAAAATTATTTCAAGTATTGAAGTGTGTAATTATTAAGTAATTAATACCTTTTATATTGATTACATATGAAAATGATAATATCTGGGAAATTTCTGAGTTAAAGAAAATATTTTATTAAAGTTAATTGCACCTGCTCCCTTTTACCCTTTTTATGCGGCTGCTAGAAAATGTAAACTTACGGGACACCTGGGTGGCTCAGATGGTTAAGCGTCTGCCTTCAGCTCAGGTCATGATCTCAGGGTCCTGGGATCGAGTCCCACATCCGGCTCCCTGCTCCTTGGGAGACTGCTTCTCCCTCTGCCGCTCTCTCTCTCTCTCTGTCTCTCATGAATAAATAAATAAAATCTTTAAAAAAAAAAAAGAAAATGTAAACTTACATATGTGACTCACGTTATATTTCTGTTGAACAGCTTTGCTCCAGAAGAATAAGAACATGGGATGATATTTCCCATCTTAGCATGATGATCCGAGACCATTTGCCATGTGACCTCCCCAGGAAGGTGCACGAGAGATGGGTAACACGTTCTCTCCCTTCTCATGACATTTCAGTGGCCACTGTTCATGGCGGGACCCTTGGCCTTCGGATAACATGGAGAGGGCGTCTGGTGACAGGTGCAGAGCTTCTGGCTCGGCCCCCTTGAGGATCCCTTGGTCTTTGGGTCCGGCATCTTGAGATGTAACTCTCTTAATCCTTCCTTCCCCTCCCCCACCCCCCAAAACGCAGGGCCGGCAATCAATTGAAATAGATGTTGCTTGCCTTGGCTCCTGGCCATCTTTGCTTTTCTTTATTGTAGCAAAAGAAAACCATGTGAAATATTTGGAGTGAAATCTGTTGTCCAGTACAGTCATTGGATTAAAAGAGAAGATCCATTGGACTAACGATAAGGTCTTTGTCTACATTAGGTTCATGAAACTGGGAGAAGTCTTGGGAATGGACTAGTTCGGCACCCCCTCCTGGGAAAGTGAGGCTCTGAGAGGCTAAGTGGCTTGTGTAGGGTAGCAGAGCCCTCGGCGGTGGTGGGCTTTGGAACCCAGTCTTCCCCCTGCCCCCAACATGCCGCACTATGCTGCCCATTCTTCTCTGAGATGCTCCCTTTCCAGCTCCTTCCTCCGTCCTTGTTTGGTCCTTCATCCTCTTCTGCTGCCTTCTCTCTTTGACCCACTGTCTTCCCTTTAATATATGGGGCAGCAGAAATGGGAGTCAAAAAGATCTAGACAGGTTCGAGGATGGGCAGAAATTAACAAGACAAAATGGAACAGAAAAAAGGAAAAAATGTTTTCAAAAAGATCGTATTTATTTATTTGACACAGAGAGAGAGCGCGCACAAGCAGGGGGAGTGGCAGGCAGAGGGAGAGGGAGAAGCAGGCTCTTCTCTGAGCGGGGAGCCCTATGTGGGGCTCGATCCCAGGACCCTGGGATCATAACCTGAGCTGAAGGCAGATGTTTGACTGAGCCACCCAGGTGCCCCGAAAAAGATTTTGAGTAGACACTAACAAATGGAGCCAGGGAGACTTTCTTGGCCTTAATAGACGCTCAGTGAAAAGGCAACATGGGTGTGTGTGGAGGAGCAAGGGGTTGGAACCACAGGCTCAGGGCGTGAGGCCTGGCCATGCGGCCTTGGAAAGACCTTAGCTTCCTCATCTCTAATCACCCTCCCGGAGCTGTGGTGAGGAGTAAACGAGGCCGTGTTTCTGAAGGGACTTGGTGATCAGTGAAACACCGCCCCAACGGTAGTGACTGGCGCTCCCGGGAGGTGGGAGATGGCTGCGGTGAGAGGGGGTGCCCCAGCAGAGCCATCTGGCTGCCAAGGGACGCGAATGCAGAGTCCAGAGCGCGGGATGTGGCTCTGCACTTATCCACCCGTTTCTGGGGCACTGGGTTCGGTTCTGGGAATTGCATTTTAAGAGGGACCTTGGCAAACCGTTGTCGTTCCAGAGAAAGCTCCAGAGAAAGAATAGCTTAGGGTCTGAGAGTCACGACATATAAGGGATGATTTAAGGATTCGGGGGAGGTTCAGTCTGGAGGGGGAAAAAAGTTAGGACGAGGTCGCTGTTCTGAGGTGTCTGCACCCTGTCTTACCGCAGAGGTAAATGTATTTTGGGTTGCTAGTGGCCAAGCTGGGATCCAGTGGATGGGAGTCAATGAGAGGCAGACTTGGGTGTAATAGGAGCCTGCCTAAGGCTCAGAGACCTTCTGGAGGTGCTCCCTGGCAATGTGGCGGGCTGCCCATCAGCAGAAGTCTTGAGGCAGGGGTGACCATGCACGGGACAGGGGCCGTAAAGCTGAGTCTCGCTCTGGCTGAGAGGTCAGACTCGGTGCTCTCTGCAAGCCCTCCAATCTGAGACCACTGTTTTTCCTTCGGACCTCTCTGATCTTTCTTTCTGAAAGATCCTTGCCACGTTGGCTCTCTTTGACTTTCTCCTCCCTCTCTGAATGGCTTGAAGGTTTTAGATTCAGAAATATTTCTGTAATAATTGATAGTTTGGTTTAATGGAAAGTAGGAGGGAAGAACATTTAAAAACAAAGGCAGTGTTGTTACTTTTAAAGGCACACAGTAACCTGTTAAGTGGGGGAAGGAGCAGGAACATGGTCACACGTGTTAGAAAATCTTGTAAATGCTTCAGCAAATGGCTTATTCTTTGCTATTGTTTAAAATGCAAACATAACTGCTAAGGGCCTTTGTTCTTGAATGGACCAGAATTTTCCTTGTTTACCCAATTCTTTTCCTAGCTACAGAGATGGGAGAGAATTCTCACTATAAGAATTCTCACTCTGTATCATAAACCACTTTCTGCATTCATAATTTAAATGTTTTGCTGATTTGGTTGCGTCAAATTCTGTACAGGAGGTGTTTTCTTGATTTCTTGACTCCAGAAAAGCCATTTCCTTGAGGAAAATATTTTTCCCACATAGTTAGTGTTGCAGCGGGCTGCGTGAGACTGTAGCTGACTGTCCCCAGTTGAGCGGCCGTGGAGCTATTTCCAGAATTTTGTCCTGCCCCCAGTAGGAGTGATGCATCCGTCTCACAGTGCCCCACCTCAAACAACCCCACCATCACTTCAGAAGCCTCCACCTGGACTCCAGGGCACAAAATAGAGCTCGGCAGATCCAGGTGGAAAGGAGAGGGAATGGGTAGGAGTGAGTAACATGTTGGTGAGGTTCCCTGAGGCCAGAGTCCTTGCCCAGCCCCAAGGATGACAGCAGGGACACGGAGAAGACAGACTTCAGGGCCTGAGTTCTGGGTCTTTTGGAACACTGTTGGTCACTTGTGGCAGGAAGGGAACTGGAGAGACAAAGATGATGGCTCTTCGCATCCTGGGACTGGCCAGTCAGGCGGGGCGGGGCAGGGCGATGGCGACTGAAAAGGCAGTAGGGGCTGCACCGTTGTAGGTCGCTGTCCCCGAGGCTGCTGGGTTGAGCCCACACCCCCTTGCCTAGCCCCACCCGGGTGTGACTTTGAACCCTTGGCTTGAGACCCCTCAGCCTGGAGATGAGCTGATGGACCTATTGTTGAGGTCCACCTTCTGGGGCGACGGGCCAGCCAACTCTGATGTGCAGTGCACAGCCTTGCTTCTTCCCAGATCTGTCTCCCCTCCGGGTCTCTTCTGTCTCATGGCACTCTTCCACAGACTCCAGTTTCTGAGCTCTGCTAAAGTGCTGGCTTGGCTGGGCCTCGCAGAGTGGTCCTGTCCCCCCAGCAGGGTGCGGCGCGGTGCACACAAGGATTTATGTACCGACCCAGATTTGAGGGTCCTACTCTTAGAGACCATGATTCAGGAGGTCTGACGGGGCTCAGGAATCCAGACCTCAGGTGTTTCTGATGTTAGCAGTCCCGGGCCCCCCCTCGGAGAAACACTGGTGTAGAGGAAAGAGCAAGACTGGGATATGAGAGAAGAACTGGGTTACTTATTATGTTACTTGTGAGCAGGTTAATGACCACTTACGAGCCTCTGATTCCTGATCTCTAAAATGCTCATCCCTTCAGAGGGGAGTTTTCAGATATCAATGAAATGAGGACCATGGAACGTTTAGTAAAGGCTTATTTAATAGGATTTTTGGCTCCCTCTCCCGCTCCTGCAACACCAGGAAAGTGGCAACAGAGAGCTTCCCTTCTTCCCAGTCCCTGCGTCTGAGCAGAGCCGTGGCAGGGGGCACCTGTGAAGGGCCACAGACCAGCCTCGGGGAGCCTGCTCGTCTCCAGCGCCCTGTGGCTGATCAGGCAACTCCGGTTTCTCGAGCGGCGGCTTGGAAAGAAACCACCAGGAGGTCAGAGGTCAGCGGTCCGCTGTCAGGTTTATTTGTAGTAAACCACAGAGTCAGGACACACGTACACACGGCACATTACAGGAACAAGTCCACGGCACTCCGGCAGGCAGACAGGCAGGCTCGAGCAGGCGACCACCCTGACGGAGTAGCGTATCTACGGGTGGACGAGGCAGCGGAGGTGGACGAGTGAGGAGTGAAGGATCGGGACCCTGGCGCTGTGCTACCCAGTCACCGCCTCAGTCTCGGCTGGCAAGAGTCTGCATTTATGGGCCGCAGGTGAGGTGCGTTAGGACGTGTAGCTTCAGCTTATGCCCAGGGTCACCCCAAACGCTGAGCTTTAGCTAAGTTCTCTAAAGGGAAGTGGTGCTTTTCCACTGGTGGGAATGGATTCTCTCCTAACACACTGGCAATGAGAAAGGGTAAAATAGGTTTGATCCACAGAATGGAAAATGTTTACACGTCAGGGACTGAGTATGTGTGTTTGTGTATGTGTGTGTGCGTGTGTGTAAAGGTGGAGGGCTTACCAAAGAGTTTCCTTGTCGGTTTTTTTTTATGTTGGCCCCCCATATCAGCTAATTTCTGAGCGTGATCAATCCTGAAGAGGGAAGAGAAGATTCTTTAAGGGGGGAAGAGTAGCCCTCCAGGGTAGCAGGGCTGGTGGGGAGCCTTGGGCCTGCTGGAAGACCCCTAAGAACAAGGACCCCCCCCCCCCGCCATGGCCGCAGGATTTACTCCAGGTAAGGGCAAGATCGTTGAAGAGGGAAAGTCTTTAGAGCCCCCCTTGTTGGATAGACGGAGAAAGAAAAGTCCCAGAAGGCTAAAGGACATGTCCAAGGCCATGTGGCTGAGACAGCATGTAGCTTACTCCCCGTGTTGCTCTTGTTTCCCAGGCAGGGTTTCATCCCTCACATCATCTTGGCACATGGAATGGCTCCTTCCACAGCAGCTCTATGGAACAGTGGCCAGACTTTTCCAAGCTAGAAGGGTCTTACTTGTTTCCTGCAGAGAGAGAAAAGCATCCGTCAGAACCCCTTTAGCAGTGGCTTCTTTGGGGTTATGCTTCCTGGCTAACAAGAACACTTTCTCACACGTACCTACTGAGCGTGGATGATGATGGTACAGAGAGGCACAAAAAGTTACTTCTGCCCATTCGATGGAAGAGGGCAGCTGTGATAGAACCTGGGTCAGCAACTTGCTGTAGGACCCTCTTCTCTTTAGTTTGATCTCCTGCCTCTTTTCATCTGAAGAAGAAAGGAAGAAAGAAAATGCTGTAGATATTGAAATCTGCCTCCTTGTCCGGTGACCTACTCACTAGGCACACTGCCTCCATCAAGACTGTGAGCCAGCTTGGCAGGTTCACACAGATCCAAGAGAGCAACATTTGGTGCATCGGGCCCTGTCCAAGTGTAGCCCTGGCCTGCCTCCTCCCCAGAGGCCAGGAAAAATGGCTTTGGAGGGGAATTCTGTATATGGTCACATTGGAACCAAGATTGAATGACCACCATTTGTAACTCAACTACCATCAACAGACCACATACCTTGTGCTACGCTGGCCACCAACTCAGCATGCAAGGCTGAACACGATGACATCTAAGGAAGAGCCTTTCCAACAATAGGGGACTGATTCCAGAACTCCCTGCTCAGTGGACTTTTTGTGTTAACTGAGGTAGTCAATCCGAAATTGTGACTCCAGTAGGATTATGCTTGAGGGTTATGGCTTATTCTGTTTTTGTTGATTTCACAGAAGTCAAACCCACTTCACTGCCATGGCCTCTGGGTCCCTTCTTTGCTCCTGATTCTGTTGTTTTCATACTAATACCCTCTGGTCTGGGATGTTCAGCTACGTTGCTTTGCATTAGACTTCCCAATGGTTCTATATCCACAAAGGTGCTCTATGCCTGAGATGTGACTCAAAGGGTAAAGAGAAAAAGGAGAATAGTACTGAATAGAGGGGTTTCGGTTAGACACTGGGGATAATTTCTTGATGGCAGAAGCTGTGAGACACTCAAATTACATCCTGAAATCGGGCTCTGGACTATGTTCTCTGATCTTCCCTGGGCCTTTTCAGCACAGCCTTGCCTGGAGATAACAAAGTGGGCAAATGTCCCCTTAAGATCCCTGCGATCCTCTGATTTTATGTATGAAAGCTCTAAAAATAGAATTGTGGGAGAAAAGGGAAGAGAAACATCATGAGAATAAAAGAAAGAAGAAAAGGTGGAAGAAGTGGGCATTGGGGGTGGGTGGAGGTTGGGAAAAGCAGAATGGGATGGGAAATGGTGGAGAAAAAGCAAGAGAATCGTGTTGAAACAGGTTAAGAAGTTAGGGTCTAGTGCCTGGCAAATAGACATTGGTTAATAACACAATATTTATCGATGGATAAATGAACAAATGTATGAACCAGCGTCTCCAGCCCCATCTGACAGGCGGGAAAGGTGAGACATGATCTGACACTTGCCCCTGTCCCTACTGCTGCTTGGTGTGAGGCAGGAGGTGGTGTTGGCCTCGGGAGAGGAGCAGGGGGAGGAGAGGGCAACCCCCCCTTGCCTGTGGGTACTAAGCGCCCTGGGTCCCGGCCTGTGAAGCTCAGGAAGGAAAATGAGGAGGCAAAGGCTGAGCTCCTCCGTCTTGTCTGGCACTGCTCCTAGCTGCCCAGGCCTGGAGTGATGGGGCAGCAGAGGGAGCCCATCACAGCCAGGCACCTCCCCCCCCCCCCTCCTCCGCCTCCTTTTTGTCCCTCAGGGGCAGGAGAAGAACCAAATCCCTTCTCTTGGGAGCTATGTAAAACATCCACTGAATTTGGAGATTGGGTTGACAGCCTTCCCTTTCTGTCTCTCCTCCCTTCTCTTTGAGTTTCCAGAGCGCAGTTCCCCCATGTTTCCCCAAACTGTCTTTCCTCCCTCAAGACAATGGCATCTGGGAGAGGAAAGGAGTTTTCACCCAGTCTTCGGGACACAGGATCAATTTCCTGCCGAGGGGAACACCTGGAAGATCCCCATTAATGTTCTGTTTCTTCCTTTGGGGGAAGAGGAGGGTTTCCATCTTATTTTGTCTCTCCCTGCCCTAGACCTTGCTCACAAACATCTCAGAAGGGACATCAGAGCGGGAGTCCCCTGAGATGTCAAGGCTGCTTCGGCCCTTACGGCTTTCACTGCTCTTCTGGGTGACGGAAGCCGCACGGGCTCCTCGTAGACAAGAGCCGAGAGAAGGGGTAGTGCCAGTGTGAGGGGGCTCAAGGCCTGCAGGTGAATTCTGTCTCGTGGATACTATTTCTCCCCCTCGGAAAACATCTGCCAGTTCGAGTCACTGGGATTTAGGAGGGAACACTGTGCTTCCTTCTCCCAGCTACAAAGCCACGAATGAGCAGGAGGACAAATCGGCCTCTCTGTTCTGAGGAGATAGAGAAGAGAAAAATCACACTGCCTAGACAAGGCAAATGTGAGCATGCTCCCGGGGAAGGCCTGCCAAGAGCTCTTATATAAGCTCCAGTGAGCTCATGTGTTTTCTCGCCCATCAGCGGATCCTGGGCTCCTCGGGGCCAGGGGTGAGGCTGGAGGAGGGAGCTCAGGAGAGACTGTGTGCTTCCAAAGAGGGGGCGCTCTGGGAAGAAAGCATGTTCCTACTCTCAGGAGGATGGAAACAATTTTCATCGCCGAGTCAGTCAACAGAGACTTGCCTTCCTTATGGCAGCAATGTTATGAGAAAAGAGGGAGGTGCTTCTTCTTATGAGCCTCATGGTGTGGGGGAAGGGGTGGTGGGGTGGGGGTGTTTCAGGAGTCAAAAAGAGGTAGATGTGCCCTGGGGGTATGGATAAGGAAGCTTTTCCTCTTGATGCGTGGAAAGCCAGAGGGGTGCTCAGTTAGGTCCACCAGCCACAGGCTGGGTATCAGGCCTTGGTTTCCAGTTGTTGCAGACACCTAGGCTGTTTTGAATAGGAAACTTATTTCATTTATTGATGGAGACAGGCTGAACATTCTGGAACCTGCTGTCCCTCATTTTGCCTGCTTCTCTTTTGTTTGGCAGAATCACTGAGCCGGCAGACTTTTGTAAGCCAACCACCCAACCACCTTGCCCGCCATCTTGCTCAGAACACCTGCAGTTAGCCTGCCCTGACCCCAGCAGCGAAGCACAGAGCAAGTGGAATGATACCTGCTTTCCTTACTCTTTGCCTACTGAAAATGATATCTTACCCTGCATAAGTGAGCCAACGCTTCTCAACCAAGCTTCCCAGACGTTCTCTTGGGAGTTGACGCACTTCCAGGTCAGTTATGCCCCAGCGGAGGGGGAGGACCTGTCTGTACATCTCGGCGGCTCACCCCCCGCCCCACCCAGTCTAGCGCCATGTTCATCACATGGTGGGGGCAAAAACCACAACTGTCTTTTCTATGATTAAAGGAATCTGCAGATAGAATGTTTTACTGTTTTACCTGTGCCCAGTCTTTCTGTAATTACCAATGTTTTAAACAATTTTTATTTCAAAAACAAGAACATGCACTGTTTAGGTAAATTTCTACTTCCTCCAAGTGCTTTGAGTTTTCTCTCTGGTATCATTAGTGCTTATAACAAACACTTCCCCACTTCTTATCTTCTGAGAATTTAGTTAATGTGCTGTTGACTTTCCTCTCTCTAGATCAATCAGGAACGTTTTGAATACAGCTAAGACCTTCCTTGGGTTCTCCCAAAACTTTCTCCTCATTAGTATTAGAGTGATGTCCTGATTAACTTCTATTTGTGAATGAGAAGTGACCGAGCTTACCAGAGCACCCAGACATCTTCTGACAGCAGTGTGTTTGATATACACAGCCTTTCCCACATCAAGAAGGATCCCCTATAATGATATATGTGAAAGTATTTTGGTGTGAGATGTCATGACATCTGTAATTTACTTTAAAATACCTCAGGAAAAAAATGAAACAGATATGGCAAAATGATAACGATTGTTAAATCTAAGTGACAGGTATATGTGTTCTCGTTATACTCATGGCTCTGCTTTTCTGTATGTTTGAAAATCTCCATAATAAAAAGAAATTATTCCCAGCTATTCTAATTCAGGAAAGTATATTTAACCTGGACGGCCATGGTGGGAAGCTTTAGGAGGCTGACAGGGAGAGGGAGGGAGTTGGGATTACTTCATCCTTTTAGGTTTATTATCATTACCTACATGCCTGGTGGTAGCACAGTAGGATGATAGCAAACCCCAAACAGCAATTTAATGATATCCTCTATTATTAACACCTTCCGCGGATGTACGTTGCTGTGAGTTAAAAGATCTAGTTAGTTCTCAATCCTTTTACCTCAAAGATGTCGGGGAGAGAGGAAATATTCACCAAGAAAATTTTTCTTTTCTTGAAGATCATGCCATTTTCTGGTAACCAACTGGTACCAGTTTTTTTAAAAAATAAGTAAGAACAAAAAATAAGTTCATGAATTACTTTGAACGTACTGATGTTTAATCCCTCAACAGAAAATGCACACTTCCTGGAATCTTTTTCTGGATTGCTATTTACATTGTGAGGTTTAGAAATTGATTTCCTTTTGTCTTGTCTAAGGAAAAAAGAGATGACCATTTTATTATCACTCACCTTGTAATTCTTGCTAAGTTTCAATTTTTAAAAGGATTTTTTGGGGTTTTTTTATGGAAAGGAAAAAGTTCAAAAAAATTTTTTGCATCATTCTAGAGCAGTCTTCTTACCCCAAATTATGATTTATCCAAGAGATTTTTAAAAAGATGTTTCGGATCTCTGTTCCACCTTTACTTATCCGTTACTGAATTCAGATGTTTGACTACCTGACCTCATTTCACTTGCTCCTGATCCTTAATATGGTATCTGTATCCTTTACGGTGGTCTTTCATATCATGTGAACACCCTGATCTGGTGAGTTCTTTACCAGTTGTCCATTGTTGACTGAGCCAGGTCCTAGAACAAGGCCCAGCTGGCGCCTCTGGAGAGAGGGCCTGAGAAGAAGGGAGGGTAAGGTGTGCGTGCACCCACGGGACTGGTTTGGGGTAGTAAATCCCTGCCACTGTGCTTGGAGCTCAGAGGAATCCACACTGGCCTGTACCTTCAAAGCACAGGCCTGGCTTTGAAGGTAGATACTGATGGAGCTGCCGCGAGGGGATTGCTCTGTTTCTCAGTTTCCTTGTTTCTCAAGTAGGGAACTGTACACCACCAACTTCATTAGGGTTCCTGTGCAGGTTAACAGTGCTCATCAAAGTAATAGGCTTGGGACCACACAGTAAATGATAGTTATTTACTAACAATTTCATCAACGCCTGGACATGTCCATCTTCCCATTAACTCAACTTTTAAGCTGCCCTTTTTTTTTTTTTTAAAGGATTTGTTGGTCCTTTCTTTCATTTTTGAACTATAGTGCTCAGCTCCCTTGCCCAAATAAATCTGCTAAAAAAACACCCAGTTCTCCATGTCTTTTCATCTCTTGAATCTGTCCCTTATTATGTCGATCTCTTACTGTGTTGTAACCCCACTTGTGTTGCCTTTTTATTCTTTGTCCACTCTGACCCGATGGCTAAGAAGGAGATTGCAAATATTTCTGTCTTTCTGTCCAGGTTGAATTTCATATTTTCTGAATCATGAAACTGCCCTCCATGTGACCTAGAAAGCCCTTTGATGATCCATATTTAGCTGTGTCCATCATTCAACAGATGTCTGTGTAGTTAGAGGCCCTCAGGAGCTCCCTCTACATCCTGTGGGTTCAAGTTCCTGAGCTGTTAGTTAAAAAGCTTTCATCGCCTCTACCTCCCCTTCCCCGACCCATTCCAGGATAGAAGGACAGATGCCCACTTTAGCTGTTTATTCATTTAACACATATTTATTCATTACCTACTACATGCTTGATACTGGGGTATATGTTCTCTGCTTTGCTTCCAACTTGCATTTTCCTAATTTGGAGCATTTCGAGTTGTCCTCACGTTTTCTGATTATCCCTCTAGAATCTGCACTGAGCATCCAGTCATATGGCCTCTCCTAGCTGCTGTGCTTCCTGGCCCTTGGGAGACTTGCAGGCTTCCCTGCAAACTCTGGTGCCTTGTTATAATGCACCGGCCACTGCAGCCACAGATTTCAGGATGATGTGGGTTCATCGTGGGTGCTAAGGGAGTTGAGCTAGCAGCTGAGGCTGCAGGGCTCGGCTTGCCATTCTGCACCACGGGCATGACGAATGAAGTGGTGGCCGGGGGGCGGGGGGTTGCCCAGCAAGTGAAGCCGTTAATTTCCAAAAACCCTTGGCTTTCTGTGTCCCTTTTCCCACAGAGATCCCCGTGCAGAAAGATGCCTGTCTGCTTTTTGAGCTCTCTGGATCTTCCCATTAGATAGCTTCTCTTGGCATCTGAAAGGCAGCCTGCCATTCTGTTCTCCTGTGGAATACAGATGGCCCAGCCCACGCCTATCACTAATGAGGAGCACATGCAGAGCCTTCTTGCTGGAGGCTCCTGTCAACAACACCAGCCCTCCTTCCCCGTGCAGGCCAGTCACCATTGACCATGGCATTTACGTCTGAGAAGGCTGCTTGTTGCTCTCCCACTCACGGAGTTGAACAGTTGAAAATCTATTAGGGAGCCCTGGGAAACGAGTCCCGTTCCGCTAGAATCTGAAACATTGAAGATCGAGTTTTGGCTGCCAATCTGATTGCAAAGTTGAGGTTTGGGGTTCCAGCTGCCCATGGAGGTTGTTGAGTTTAAATGTGAACAAGCCCTGTAAGTTCTTTAGTAGGAACATGATTAGATGGCTATACAGAGGTGGACCTGATAGATCAATCTGCCAATGCTGTGTAACCTCACCCAGAATGATTGCAGGGTTGGGAACAGACGAGGATGGTAAAAGCACTGAAGTCTAGTAGAGAAAGCATACATTTTTGGTGAGACAGATCCATGTCAAGTCTTAGCTGTTACTACTTACTATCTTTTTTGACCTTGGACAAGGTACTTCACCTTTCTATGCACTAATTCCTTCATCTGTGAAATAAGTACAATACCCATATCATAGGCTATCCTGAGGATTAAATGGGACAGCACATGAATAGACCTTGACATGGTGCCTTGTATCCAGTAAGCAATAAATGGGAATTTCCTCCCCTGTCTCCTTTTCCTGTTTTCTCTCTATAGTAGAAAGTTGAAAGACCTACTCCAGCATGATGAGACATCAAGGTGAGCCACAAACAATGGCTCCATGTGAAATTCTATACAATTCTGCTCTCTTGTTTTATCTAAAACTGGATTGATATTTGAGATGTGGGATGGTTTCTTTTTCCTGGTTATTGCAAGCCAGATGCAGGTCTGGTATTTGTCGGACAAGAAGAGTTCCACACTGCCAGTATGGACCCCAGTAAGAAAGGCAGATCCTCTTTTCGTCTGAATACTGTACCTCATTCCTTTAACTCTCCAAGCTACTGAGGGGAGATCACCACATATTAGGTGTGGTCTAACTGGTTAGTACCCGCTGATCCAGAAATCTCTCTGGGAGTCATTTTCATTCTTTCAGAAAACATGGGACACTGAGGTATGCTGTTCAAAACGAAGTAACAGATATTGACTTAACATTGTTGCTGACAAAACCAGTTTCACTAGCTTGTTGGACAAGGTAGATCAATCATTGCTTCTGCCCCACCTAACACTTCCCATAAGAGCGGCTAACTGTTCATTGCCCCGGAAGGCAGCCCCTTCCATATTTGGCCAGTTCCAAAAGAAGTCATTAAATTGAATACAAATCAACCTCCCTCTGACTGTGCTGTTTACACCTGGTTCTGTTCTCTGGAGCTACACAGATGAAGTCTGACCCCTGGCAGCTATCATGTGTCCCCAGTCCCTCTTTCCCCCCCCCCCCGCCCCCCTCCCCTCCAGGGGGACAAAGAGTCCAGATCCTTGATTCTTGCTTGAAGACATGTAGAGGAGAACAATAAAAACAGTTAAAGAATCACACAGAAGAAACTAAAGAGTGTCTTAAGACTGGAGATTCCTTGTCCTAGAGAAGTACTTTTTGGAACATTGTTGCTGAGGATGGTTACTTGTGTGTTCCCATCTCCACTGAGAACAAAAAGAAGAAATGGTGGGCATAAGGCAGTGTTTCTAATCTATAGATGTTGGCAGACAAACAAAGGACCCTATGGTTCTTTACTGTGAATTCTTAGAGTTAAGCCTTTCTATGTCTCTCCTAGAAAGGGAGCTAGTACTTGATCAAAGAACTCTGTTTTCATGGGCATTTTATGGCTACTAGCATTTTGTGAAACACATCTTAGGAAATTATGGTCTCAGATATGCTGTGGGGACTTAGGCATTTGAAATAACTTCCTGACTGGTTATTGTTGGATCCTGGAACTGGTAGCCAAGGAACACTATGAAGTTTCCTTCTTTGGAGGGTTGGTAGACTCTTCCTCCCTTCCTCCCTCCCCTCTGCTCTCCTCTCTCCCTTTGGTATTAACATTAGGCACCCACTTGCCTGGGAATGTTGAGGTGTAGGCCTGGGACATAGGGGAATCTGGAAGTCTAGATCCTTCCCATCCCCATGATTCTATTTTTATGGACCCAATTGTGGTGTGTTCCATGGAAGGTACAGCTTAGCTGGGACAGGAGGTAACTGAGGGTTTTGGCCAAGAGGAGAGGGGGCTAGAGATGGGAAAAGTTGATGCAATTATTTTTGTCAGGAATTGGAACCAAAGCAGCAGGAGAGAGTAAGTTTTAAGACTCTCTGGCAAAGTAACTTCCTAATCTGTCACTGAGTATGTGTAAAAAAGTGATTAGTGGGTCTCTATATTTATCATGATTACTCACAAATATGTAATTTGCATAATATATACAGCACATTAAGTACTATGTCACCTTATATAATGTGCATATGTATAATGTATATGCATGTTATGTAACGCCAGTCTGGAGGCTCTTCCAGATTCTGCCAAGTATTTCCTAATTTATTTGGCAATTTTAACATATCTTTTCCATCTGTGGAAAGAACTATCTTGAGAGGAGCTGGTCTCTGACCTGAAATATAATCATTCTACTAAGCCTATCTCCATTCTCAACTCACTGGAGGAAATCCACAAAGACCAAGCCATAATGAGATGCAACTCTCAGCTCAATAGTCCAGGGACAACATGATGTACTGAAGATTTTCTGTTTCATTATTTTTATTGCTGGTAGGGTAGAACCGTGGGGGCAGGTGGGAACATGTCTGTTGCATGGTCACAATCAGAATAGGATGAAGACTAAGGGACTGGATTCTGCCCTGATTGCCTTAGTGTGTGACTTTGAGAAGTCACTGAACCCTTATTAAGCTTCACTGTCTCATTATTAAGATTGGGAGATTAATACCTTCTCCATCAACCTCTGAGATTGCTGGGAGGCCCACTATGGTGAGGTACTCTACAGGAAGAAACCATGGTCACAGTAGTTAAGGAATGAGTTGCAATATCACACTAAACACCACCACTAGACTTACTGAGGTTACCAAATTGGAAGTACTATTCCACTGCCTTCTTATACTCTGTGGCTCTAGGGAGGCTTTGGGACATGTCTCTCAGGCAACACTGCAAGTCCTATGCACTAGACTAGAACAGGCAGGGGCCACTCTGACTTGTGAATCTCTGCAACTCAGTTTCACCTGTCCACAGTGCCACGTCTCAACAGCCTCAATCTTGGGGGATTGGGGTTGAAACACATGCAAAAACTTCTGTAAATTTCTCAGAATCAGTGACCTCAAATCTGAACCTGCCTCTGTTTCAAAATCAAGTGGCTTCCAAGACAGTACCTGTTGTTATTCTGGAACTTGTTGGTCCGTCCCATCACCAAGGATCCCATCATTCAGGACATTCTTCAGGCAGCCTGGCTGTCCCCTCACCCACTGTTTCGCACTGTTGGGTCCAGCAGGATGGTCCTAGATGATTGCTTCCTTCAGAGTTAGGATCAGTGTATACACACAATCTTAATTTCCCTTCCTTGTGCAAAGCTCCTGACTCAGTGCAAGGAGATTAGAGAGCGCTCAGTGGAGTGATGTCGAGTGGGCCCACGTGTCCTCTTAAGAAATCTCGGAGGGGATGGAGGTCCGATGGAGCAAAGGCACCAAGGCAAATGTTTCTGTCTACTAATGAAGCTCTACACAGACTTGCCCTCGCAAAAGGAATTGGGTAATGCTGGCAGCAGCTGCATGAAGCCCACTGAGCTCTGCTGGGACCCCTCTGGGTATTGGCTGGCAACACCTTGCAGAAGGTGCCTTGGTCCTTCTTCTGAGTCTCCAACTGAAGTCATCCCTGCAGCCACAGGTGCTTCCAGACTAAGAGGCCATGACGACCATGACGAGTTGACAGGTGGAGAGCTTAATCTGATGATCTGTCTAGTGCCTTCAACCCAGACCAACTTCTTACCAGTTCAGGCCAGAGAGAATCTCTGGGAAGCATCACGAGGCCCTCATTTCCTTGTGTGGGCCTGTCACATCCACACATGTGCTACGTATTCATCCTTCCCTGGAAACCTGGATTCGAATGGAATAATTTCTCAGTGGCCAGAAATGACCCTATTCTAAGATGTGTGGATTCTTCTCTCTAATAAACATCCTCTTAGTGGCACCTATTCTCAAACCACATTAGTTAAGATACCATGTACAAGTCTCTTAACTTTTCTGAGACTATCTCTTGCTGGCAAGTGAGAGAATAATTCTGTCCAGCATATCTTTCATGGCTGTTTTGAGAATCCAGAATAGGAATTCTTAGTCTCTTTATGATAAGAAGCTACTTTCATTTCCCTTAAATCTCATGATCACCATGGGGAAATGTGTCTTGACAATGAAATGGTGGGATGGGGGAGTAAGAACCTACTTTTTCTTTCCTACTTTCTGTTCCTCGTCTACATGTTTTTTTTTTTCAATCAGGAAAAGTCCATCAGTAAATAAATATTTATATGTATAAATATATATGCTACATATATGTACACACACATAAGACCATCAGAAGGGCCCTCAGGTCATGCTCTGGGAGTGGTAGGTGCAAAGAGGCAGGTGGGAGCCACCTGATGGGCTTGTCTCCTGGTCTTCTCAGCAAAAGGCCCTTCCTTCTCATCTTCTCTGCCTTCAGGAGTAGTCTGCCACCAGGGCTTGGAACTCAAAACAGGAAACACGCTTTGGCTTGAAAAAGAAAGAAACTGGGGGTGGTTTTTTTTTTCTTCCCTTTTTACACAATATTATGACACCAATTTGAAAAATAAATCCCAGTTTCTCTGCTTTCCCTCCCAGGTGTTCACAGAACTAAGAAAATAAATACCACATCGAAGGTGTGCCGTGCAGGCTGCTCGGGGGGCTCTTGGAGCTGTCTCTCAACAAACACACAGCCACCAGGAGAAGCCTTTGGGAAAATAACAAGTGCCCACTGACAGCGTGGAGAACCAAGAATGGAAACACAGCTTTCCACAGCCTTTCTGCCTCCTCAGCAAGTTCAGGGAGAAGTTGCTGCTTGAAGGACAACTAAGCAACCAACGTGCGCTTGCTGAGCCCTGCCAAGGTTATGCTCTGAGCGCTGGAGGCTGTTGGTCTCTGTACAGAGGGACCTTTGTGTAAATTCTCTGGAATGGGAGCTCTTTCCCTTGGCCACATCCGATCTCAACATAGGCAGGAAACCTGCAGCCTGCTTCTTGTGAGCGTCTGTGAGGGAACTTGCAGGACTGGTGGGAAGAAAGGGGGATTTCTCCTTCAGTCTCAGAAAGTCCCACTCACGGCCTTCTGGGAATGTGGAGGTTGCCATACGAGCCAACCGCACCCCGGTCGGCCCTAAGTCTGTTCAAAATTTTCTGTCGGTACCGGCTCTGTTGGGGTGTGTCCACTGTTGAAGTAGAGAGCATGTACGACAAGATGAAGATTTCTTCCCGATGGGTGGCTTTGCTTCCACTGGTTAGAGATGAGTGTGCGTGTGTTTGCGTGCGCACGCGTGTGTATGTGTGTGTGTGTGTGTGTGTGTGTGTGTTACAGTCTCTTGTTTTCTCTCTTGGTTTAACTGGCATTTGGCGTATTATTTAGTCTTTTGAACGGCTCTTCCTCCTCAGCGAAAAGAAGCTGCTCTTCTGGGGAGGCCCCATCATCATAGGTGCTTGATTCTTGTGAGTAATTTTAATCTAAAAGCAAAGAGACATAAATGAGTTAGTAGCATGCAAATCCCAGTAACCTGTGAGAGAGGGAGTTGCAGAGGGAGGAAGGCAGGCCAGCTTCGGGTTGGAAGGAGCCCCATGCAGAAGGACGACTGTCCTTGAACAGCTTTAAAATTGGCAACTGGACCCTCACTGGGCCTGGAGTCTGGCACTGCTGGAAGTGAGGGGCGGAAACACTGGGGAGAGACAGGTGTGAGCTTCCCACATGGTGATCAGCTCGCACCTGTCTTGCGTCCTTGCTATTCATAGATTCTCCAAGTGTCACAGCCGGAGGAGATCTCAGGGACCATCTCATTCAACCTCTCTGCAGGACAGATAAAGGAATGGAGGCCCAAGGCTCTATTGAGCCTTGGATTAGCCTAAGGTCACACAGAGAGAGCAGAATAGCCGAGAGTCCAGTTCTTGGGATTCCTAGCTTCCACTGCTCCTGGCCGTTCCTGTCCAGGCAGGGCAGAGATATCAACCAGTGAACTTCAAGTCAACCTAGAGGCTTCAGTCTGACATCTGACCCAAGCCACATCATGTGGAAAGTTTCAAGTGAGTCCCTTAGGTGTTTCCTCTTTTCTTAGCTTTCCAGGAAAAAACCCAACTTTCTTTTTAAAAGCCTCTTCTTCTTCTTTTTATTTTTTTAAATTTTAAGTTTTATGAGTTTTTTTCTCCTGCAGACTTTAAGTCAGTTGGAAGTGAAAGACACTAGTGAATTCTCATTTTTGCCTTTCTTCCCAACCTTATCCTTAGGGCGTGGCTTCAGAATGCTAAATCCCTATTTGAATATGACCTGATGACACTGCACATTACTAATCTGCATTATCAGTCCATCAGCATTTATCAAGTGTGACACATGTCCAGAGTAGGAAGATGATGTGGGAACAAGGCACTTAGGATTCAAGGACCTGGGTTTGGGTCCCGGATCTCCTGCTTCTTTGCTGTATGACTCTGGACGAATCATTTAACCTTCAAAGCCATGCTTGCTGAACTGTAAAATGAGGGTAATAACATTTGTCCTGTTTTCCTCACAAAGTTGTTGTGAAGATCAAATGGGAGACTGTCCATGAAAGCCCGCTGTGGTCTGTAAAATGGAATGTAACGGTTAGTTAAATAATTGTTATCTTACCTTGGAGGTGAAGGAGAAAGATGTATGTCAAAAGAAGCCATCTGTGAGCTCATTCTCATGGTTTCTATGTTATTGGAAATGACAGTGTGGCCACAGAGAACCACAGAACTCTTGAAGAGAGAGACCCATCCACAAGTTTAAATTAATGGAGGGATAGACCAACCGGTGTCAAAAAGAAGGTAAGGAAGGAGAAGAGTCTGGATGGAGCAACCAAGGAAGAGTTTTAAGAGCTGAACAGAAGGGAAGGAGATGTATTGGTGAAAAGAGAAAGGGAAGGCACCGGGTGGAAGGGCCACGTATGAAAAGGTTGAGTGCAGGGCAAAGGATGAGAGATGAGGTCAGAGAGGCAGGCGGGGCAGTTAGTCTAGGGTTTTCAAGGGGAGGTGGCAGAGGCCGGGTTTAATGTGAGGTAATGGGGAGCCATGATAACTTTTAAGCTGGAGAATAACAACATGATGAAGAAAAGAGTTCCAGGGAAATTATTCCATAGTTCTTGTCAGGGAAAGTTGGAGTGGGGGAGACTCTGGCTCAAAGGGTACTAGGGTGAACCAGGTATACATTTAGAAGTCCCCAGGATATGGGAAGACAAGGATGAAACGAAAAGACATTGTGGAGAATTAGCATAACCTGGGTGATCGAAGCTGCAAATGACTCTTATGCTGGATGCTGGTTTTCACCACCCGGGAGCTCCAGGAGGGGGGGACATCTTTCTTTTTGTGGCAGTCCTCGGAAGAACAAACCAAGAATATATCAAGTACCATTTTGTGTTACGGGCCTTATTATGGGCATTGTGTTTATTCCAGAATTCACAGAAGCGAGACATAGATGAGGGACTCTGACAGAGCTTGTCTGTGGCGTGTGATTTAGCACTAATTGACCAGAGTGACTTGTGGCACATGTCCTTGTGTTGTGGTGAGCCTTTTCTCATTCCTGGGCACCAGAGCTGTCTATGGGGAAGAACTTCATCTTCTTCATCATGCTACTCCCTGAACCAGTGCACAGCATTTTGACAGCATGGGCTGTGGAAGTGCTGATGGCTGAGCATGACCCAGGAGAGAGAGAGAATGTCCTGGCAGTGGAGATGGCTATGTTTGGGGCAGACAGCCGCAGCTGATGCACTGCCTACATTTCCCGCTGATAGAGCCCGTTTTTTTTAGATGATGGAAGACCCTTACTTCTCCTTTTTCTTTCTCTAGCTGAGCAATTTATTTGCTTGTTAGCACCTCCAGGACAAAGAGGAGGAAGTGAAACTCAGATCCCTCCCATTTGGGTTTTCAGCAGCTTTGACAAAGGTCTTGATGGGGTAGGAGTTTGGAGATGCTGGCTAATGAGATTTTGATGTGGTTTGTGGCTTCCAGTGCTGTAGGTAACTGAGACTGCACTATACATACTACACTGAAGGTAAGAAGTAGGAGATCATATTTTCATTTTGAGTCAAAGAGAGGTTTATCCCCTTCTCCCCTATTTGGGAGAGGCTAGTGGGTTACCTAGCTCAGAGCCCATTGCAGGAGGTAGTTGGACATGGTGAAGCTTGCCTTTTCAACCCCTGATGGAAAGACAGGAACCGCTATCTCCGTAGTTAGAACCCAAATCTCCCTGCTAGTTGGGCTGGTCAGGCAATGAACTGAGGTCTTTATGATTTTCTTAAAGACCTTTCAAGAGATTTACAACATCTGCACTAAGAATAGCAGCCCCATTTTCTTAGTTCTCTGCTCCATTAGGGAGAGCACCGATATAGTAGGCTCTTGTGTGACAACTCAAAATTCACAAAACTACTGCAGCATGTAACTTCCCCTTTAAAATGGAATATATTTTAAAATTTTACTAGTGCTGGGTGTTGAGTCTGTTTTGGGGACCATTTCCCGCACATCAACACATTTTTATTTTTATTTATTTATTTATTTTTTAAAGATTTTTATTTATTTATCTGACAGAGAGAGAGGCAGCGAGAGAGGGAACACAAGCAAGGGGAGTGTGAGAGGGAGAAGCAGGCTTCCCGCAGAGCAGGGAGCCCGATGCGGGGCTCGATCCCAGGAGCCTGGGATCATGACCTGAGCTGAAGGCAGACGCTTAACGACTGAGCCACCCAGGCACCCCAACACATTTTTATTACCTCAAGAGAAGCAATAAACTGAGGGACTCCTTCCTGAACGTTGCCCACTCTGGGCAGATGACTCAGATGATGCCCGACAAAACAGCCAATAACTATAAGTGTGGACCCTTCCCAAGGCATTTGGGAAATACTCCTGCTTAAAGGGAGGCTAGGGGAGATGCGAGAGGGCTTGTACAATCTTTTTCAGGTCTTAGCTAAGTTCTTAGGATGCCCTGCTTCACGAGAGGGTTTCTTGCCACTGGAGGCTTTCAGATGTAGCTGGACAACTGGGTTTTTTGCTAGTGGTGGAGGAGAAATCTGGGATTTGTTGATAAGTCAGGAAGTTTGACTAGATTATTGGTTCTCCAAGTGTGGTCCCTACACCAACAGCGTCAGCATCTCTTGGGAACTTGTCAGAAATGCAAATTCTCAGGCATCCAGAATTACTGAATCAGAAACCCAGTAACCTGTATTTTAAAAGCCTTCCAGGTTATTTGGATACACACTTAAGTTTGGGATTCAATGGACTAGATAACTGGAATCCCTTTCCACTGTGATATCCTAACTGCGGGGAATATTCTTAATTTTAAGGCTCAAATTATGCTGCCTAACTGATGATAAAACATGAGAGGTCATCTTATCGTGCTGCAAGCACAAGGCAAGTTTGCTTAATAATACATTTCTTATATACATATATTTATATGTATAAACAAACATATGCTCCTTTTTGAGAATTTGGGAAGTATGGAAAAATTTAAAAACCACCTAGAGGTAATTGCCATTAACTTTTGGGTATATGTTTTCTGGTTTATTTGTATGTTTATACATTTCAATACACTGAAATCAGCTTCTTACTCTGTTTTCATTTAGCATTATTTTACAAGCATTTCTGATGTCATTAGATATTCATTAACATGGTTTTCATTGACTGAAAATTATTCTATTTGATGAATCTCACATAGCTTATTTAACCCTTTTCTTAAATGTTGGGTTTTTCTCCCATTTTTTTCACTGATAACCTGTATTTTACTTAAAATAAATTCCTACTAAAAGAATAATGAACAAAATTTTAAGGGTCAAAGGAAATGAACTGGATCAGTGTATATTAATATTTGTAAGGTTCTTCTTGATATATGGCTCCCAATATTTTCCAGAACAGCTTTCTGGTTTCACTTTTTTTTTTTTTTAAAGACTTACTTATTTGAGAGAAAGAGCACACATGTGCCACATACGAGTTGGGTGAGAGGCAGAGGGAAAGAATCCCAAGCAGACTTCCTACTGAGCGTGGAGCCCCACGTGGGACTGGATCCCACGACCCCGAGATCACGACCGGAGCCGAAATCAAGAGTTGGAGGCTCAACCGACTGAGCCACCCAGGTGCCCCTCTGGTTTATACTCTTATCTCACCCCTTGCGTGTTGGCCTCAACACATCTCGACAGCAATGACTATTATTTTAAAAAGAAAACCAAATTGTGCTACTTTGACAAGTGAAACATGGCATGGTTTTCTCACTATTTCAATTTGAAATTCTTTCCCCCCTTTTTTCTTAATTTATGATATTGAATAATATTTCACGGCTTTGGTAGTCCATGGTATTTGGTGAACTACTGCATTGTTAGCATCTTCTCCTGGTTTCTTTTTTTTTTTTTTAAAGATTTTATTTATTTATTTGAGAGAGAGAGAATGAGAGAGAGAGAGCATGAGGGGGGGAGGGTCAGAGGGAGAAGCAGACTCCCCGCTGAGCAGGGAGCCCGATGCGG